TAGCCCCCGTTTCCGCTACAGCGAGCACTTTAAGTATCGGCTCCTGGACATCTGTCAAGAAAGGTCTAGGGCCACACCACCCAGGGCGCAAGCTCTCCAGAGTCAGGGGAAAAACCAAGAGGTAGGGCTTGCGCTAAGGATTGTAGGCGCTATGGGCCAAAAATACCGTTCAATAGGTAGGATGGGGTTGTCCTATTCCTAGGGTTTAATACTAAGTTTTGTCAGATGATAACAATCCTGAAGACACCTGATGAGTGGTTTCTCATTTTACAAGGACTCGAGGGTGGAGCTCTGGGAAGATGGTGATACCATGACGAGCTTTGTTAAGTCGTGTCCTATCCGGGGTAAGCGGAAGCGTGCTTGCTAAGTTCTGTGCTTTTCTCTATGTTCTATCTCTGCACGAGATGCTCCTCTGATCATTCCGAACAAATGGAGAGATAGCGTAAACGTTTATATCGATGTTTCTTTTGTTCCCTGATATTATTATTTTTTTCTAAAAAAAAAAGCTATCTACTTCCTTACTCCCTTTACACCCCAGAATGCCGGTCACACTCGGTCACTCGCAGTATCTGTTGGACTTAGTGCGTATCCGTCAAACAAACTAGTTTTCTTTTAGTTAGTTTCTCCTAGTACTTTCCTCACCACTCTCTTCAACGTTAGTTACTGAGTTTTTCTTCATCTATTCTCCATTTGTTTCACAACCGTACAACCATGCCATATTCAACTATGGTATTCCAAGGTCCTCATGTTACCGACCTCGGGTCTCTCTAATATTTCCTTTCTTCCACTTGATAGTTTAGTTAGCATAAAAGCCCACAGCTGCGCAGGTGGTAAGAAAATCAAGCCCCTTCTCTCGTCGGCAGTCATATCAATTCACAGTATCAAAAAGATTCAACCATGCACTATTCTTTCCACCATATCACTCGTGAACCCCCTACCTGGAAGTCGGATGTAATACTCCGGACAGCATTGTAACCATGATAAAATTTACGTGTAACGCTCTCCTATTGCGAGCTTTTTAATATGACTTCCTTGAGAAAGGTGTTCCACAATGAAACACCTTTCTGTCTACCTTTTCTCTGCCTACCTTATCTATTTGCCTCTCCTACTCCCTCTTTTCTTCCGCGCTACTTTTCTCATTTTCAGAAACATCTCACGCAGTATATTCTTTTTTCATGTAATCACTATCATTACTTTTATGTGCCATGCAAGGATAAGCCAAATTTTTGCGTAATTTACTTCTGAGTCACACTCCCATGGATGGAAGCAAAGTATGATATCATACCACAAGACAGGACGTTCCCCCTGTATATACTCTTGGGGGGTTCGTCTCAGGCATCGAGAAAGATGGACTTCCTCTCGGAAGGCTTTATAATCAGCAATAGTGCAGTTGTTGTTTTTCTTCTGATTCTCTCCCAGAGCACTAACATAGGGAGACCTTCAAATTTCCATGGGGGTATCTGGTATTGCAGTAACATCACCGGGCGAACTCCGAATCGGAAACCCTGGCAGTAGCTTGCCGGTAAGAGGGGGATACATGTTGGACGGATTTTGCTTCCCAGGGTAGTGGAAGGTAAAGTAGAAACAAGCATCATTCAAGACGCAGAGGTGTTTGACATCTTCAACCAGAACAGGCTCCCTAAGCCTTGAGGGGGGGGACCGCTAGTAAGAGTAGTTATCGCTTTCAGGTTTCTTGGTATCCATCTCTCTTTTTGGTGTTTCCCGGAGTATCACTCATGTCCTGGAACGTGTGCTCATGTGACCGGTCATTCCCCAAAAGCTTGTTCTATATAATAGATGAATAACCTCCTGGTGTCTTTTCTTCTCTTCTTTCGTGAGCACCTGCGAAAGCCACAGATACTGAGTCAGTCAGTGTCGCTTCGCCCGCTTGCTTCATGACTCTTTTCGAGGAGAGCTTCTTGCGTCAGTTTACTGAAACCACATCAATTCATGCAGTTCCCATCATTCTCATATCTGCACATATCAAATGGACTGACCCCACTGTACTGATAGCTCATCCAAGGCATGAGAAGACAACAAAAGACTATTCTTGCAATTACGACATACCTGCAATTCAACCTCCTCCCAAAGATGTTTTACTGTGTCCATAAGTGCAGTGCCGGGGCCCACTACTTTCCAGCCTAGTTTACGAGGAAGGCATTTCAAGACAGCCCCTTGCCCGGCCCCCATCAACCTATAATCTCCAGCAGAAGGCAATCTTCTACAGCATGCTACAGTAATCTCGAAACATAGACTCCAATGCCATGAGCATCGTTTCCCTTTTCAGTCATAAGCCAGCACCACCACTTTCCCGAATCTCACCCCCATGATTACAATCCGTGACGCAGGTCCTGCCGGCTCGCTCCGCGCCAAACGGTGATCATCGGAGCAAAAACTGCTGGAGATCACGCACAATCACTCGGCCTTTATATGCAATCTCCGAGGTCTGCGCCTTCCTTATGTCTAGGGAAAGGTGCCGACGGGATGCCATGGACATATGCCATCCGTCTCGGGTATCCATTTCAACAGCTTGCCAAGGCAAGCGAATTGCGAAGATCTAGGAAAGCTCTTTGTCAACAGAAGATCCTTCGCTCACCTCCAAGCCAAGTGAAACCCATACTCACTGGACTATCCAAAAACTCAACTCCATTTTTACATAATACATGTAGATGCTAATTTCCGGGGTAAGAGAAGAGATAGCCAACATTTACACCCGAGGATAGGGAATTTACCATAACCGGATGATCTGGCTATGGTAGATATTTCTAGATGGCAATAATGGCGAATTATACCATAAAATGGGGATGTGGTTTAGTGGTATAATACCTCTTTAGCATAGAGGTGGTCCGGCGTTCGATTCGCCGTATCTCCATTCTTTTTTCCTTTCTCCCAAGCCCTTCGGTTACCCGGTAGACTAGATTCGAAAGTCCGCTCCCCTGGATAGCACTTAAACAAACCTAAAACTTCTTCTCTTGGTAATACGGTACTGAAAACAGATGAGCTGGCGAATACAAGCTATCATCTACAAACCAGGAGCTAAATTTCAGATAACCTCCCGTGATCCCCTTTCGAAACCATTCACCAGACGCCCCCACTGCGGCCCGCGCAGTTGCGAGCTTGTCCAGGGTAACTCTCGCCAACCCAGCTCCAATTCACTCCAAAATCAACTCTGACGGCACCTCGCCACCAAACCACCATCATGCACGCCCGGACCACAGTGTGGATAATGCCCTCAGCCCCCCCCGAGTTTGCCAGGTTACCCAAAGTTGACACTGACACCGACGCCTCTTTTGCGCCCATCAGGGTACTGTGCCCATACGGGAATGCTGCTCCCTCCCCCTTACCGCACAATACGATATTAAACCAGCAGTATCACATCACAGAACCCCCAATCATACACCATCACTCACAACCTCTAACACACCGCCAGCCAGCCCATCTACGGTATGCAGCGCAACAGAAAGCAGAAAAGATTTCCCCATACCGTACCCCTTCAACTTCAATCAATATTTCTCCTAAAAAAAAAAATAGCCCCTACCGGTATCTCCCCTTCGCCACCGCCCAATCTCCCTCTCCTCCCTCCCTCCTTCCGAAATAAATAAAAAAAGACCATATTATCCAAATCCAGCTGAACAGAGACACACACGCACAAAAAGAAGAAGAAAAAAGAGAGAAGAAAGAAAAAAAAGCAAAACACGTCCATAATATATCCCTTCTTCTCTCCCTCCCCCTGATTGCTACCGCAGTGCAATATCTCGCGTAGCACAAATCCTGAGGACCATCGCCGATTTAGTCCAGATTAGGGCGTGCGCAGTGGTAATTTCTTTTTTTCCACTTTTTTTTTTCCCCCCCCCGCTTGTCACGATGAATACTGTAAATACAACAGGGTTCAGGTAGTGGCGTAGGTTTGGATTATTATCTTTTTTTTTCTTTTTCTTCTCTCCTTATGTTTCTGCGAGAGGGAGTGACGAGATGTGAGTCTGGAAACCATACACCTAGATACATACATAAAATTTACACGCCACGGATAAATATGTCTACGATATCA